CTCGAAAAAACTCGAATTGCTCGAGCTCATGCTCGGAAATTTTCGAGTAAGGAGCATTGAACAAGTGTGCGAGTACTCGCTGCTCATATACCCGGGCTGTTTGAAAATGTGCGAACAAAATCGAGAGCTCTAATATACATATCCATTTCCTCTCGTTTTTATTAATAAATTAATTTCAATACATTTATAACAACGCAAAACATATTTAATTTACCTATTCCTCATATTTTATTCAGTAAATGAATTCCATCTTAATGTAGAATATTAGTGTATAGTGTATACATACATACATATGTACCTATGCATTCGGTGTGCTTAAATTAAAAAAGCATCACTAAATACCGCACCAAGCATTGAGTTCCAATTATTTTGGCTTTTTGGTTTCCCAAAAGCACTAAATTTAGTGCAAAATGCACAACCTTGGCAACCCTGCAAAAATCGCGACTACTCCATGCATGCGTGTAAAGAGTACTCCCTAAAGATCAAGGAGTACTCCATAATTAAACACAATTCATATAAAAAATATGGTCCTATTAACATTGCGATGTCCTAGGGCAGGACCATATACTCCATCCATATACATCAGAGTAGCACAAAACTACTCCAACATATTAACAGTGGCATTGTTGTTATATTTTTTCGTTTGTACACGCTTTTGTTCTTCACTTCTCAAATGCTTTTTCGAAAGTAATAAAAACCAAGACAAAAATTGAAAATTACATGTTGTCTCTGATGGCATTCGAACCCGAACATGCTGGGAGCTAAGAACTAACAGCGAGCATGTCTACACGTTCAGCTACAGCCAGACATGCAAATGTGCTTTCAAATGCTCAACTTCAATAACATTTCGTTAAAACACGAGCAGTGATCGGATAACAAACCATAAGCTGGCGCAGAGACACGAGTTGGTCCGATACAGCATGACAGAGGAACACTTTTGTAAGTACTCCAATTTACCACAAATAGACTACATGGTCCAACGATTTTTGCAGGGAACAGTGAGCTGAGCACATCAATGCTCAAATAGTGATGCCAGACTAAGTGTTGAGTAAATGCGCTATGTATATTTTTTTTCTTTTAAAGCAAAAGTTCTAATTGGCGAGGGTATTGATTTTTGGTTCTTACATAGAACACTGATAAGATTCACAAACTTATCTTAGGACTTAATTAAAATAATCAACATTATTTGTAGACGAATATATTTGTGTTCGTATGAAATAGTAGCTTATGTCGAGAGGCTGGCTTTAGTAAAATGTACCATTTCCTATATTCTTTAAACCACAAGGAATTTTTTTATGAAACTTTATACGAATATTGGCTTGCTAGCATCGCCATTAACATTATGCTGCGAATGGTTCATTATACTAAAGCCAGTATTCCGACATAAGCTACTACTCTATACGAACACAGATATGTATACTTCCTAATAGGCTTGTAAAATGCCCAATACCCAAATCCCTCGCATGAGTTATTATCGGTAAAAAAATTGGGTACGCTCAAATCTGGCATCGCTTCAGCAAGTACAGCGCCAGTGAAACAGTGTTGATATTTTAAGTACAATTGTACCTTTTTCAGTACAGTTAATTTTAAAATGTACAAAAGTACAATTTGCCGATTTTAAGTACAATTTCAACATCAAAAATACTCGTTGTACCAAACGCTCAAATCCTTCTAGCACATTGATTCTTAATCCGTTTACATTTAAGTAAATGGATATACCTATATTTCATATTTGTTACAAAACGAAATTATGAATTGTAATTTTGAATGTAAACGTGATTGTGAACAGTAATATTAGTGATGTGCGTTATGGTGATTGCGATTTCTTATCACCGGCGGGTGAAATATCCCTCATCGCTATTTATTTTGAAAAAATCTTTGGAAATGCAATGTACCTAATGGCGATCCTGCAGAAATAGGAGTAATTGAGCAGATCGGGGGTTGAAAGTAAAAAAATTTATGTAAATTCCATGCGTTGAAATTATAAATTTCCCTTGAGGATTTCCATTTTATCGATAGTGATCTCATTTTATGTTCATTAATATGAACCGACCTATATAGTGTATTAATGTTTTATCATCATTGTCTTCATCTTTGACAAAATTACACGGTCAACCGGTATTTATTTTATTTTTTTTAAATAATTTTAATTATTTTTTTTTATAAAATTGTAGCTCATTATCAAACAAAAACCTTGCAAATAAATCGAAACATGAAAGAATGAAAATTTCAAAGTTTCATCAAATTTTCACAGTTTTTGTTCAGAATTTGTAGACATGTTTTGGGTTAACAATTTTGTAGCCCATTCATTCTAGTATAATAAGGTGCAAGTTTGAAGTGTCTAGAAAATACCATTGATTTTTTTAATTTTTCTGTTTGCGGTGTTGCGCACTTTCTTCCATATAACGAACGTTCGCATTTTATATTAAATGGATGAATGTGCGTGTAGCGTTGTTGCTTTTTATCCCGATATTTTAAATTAAGCTTTATTTTATAGTTTTTCTTAGACAATGATAAATGATGTACACAAATTTCAGTATGGAAAAAAAGTGCAACACCTTCAACGAAAAAAGTTCTCAAAAATCTACGCTATTGAATATTAAATCTAAAGTATATATTAAATAATATTTAATATTTGCTTTAGAGATGAAATTTCGACAAATTTGTTTAAACAAAAATGTTAAGCGCATCTGTAGAATGTGGAAGCGAGATTCTTCTGCTTGCGTTTCTATGTTTATATCATTTATCAGTTAAAGCACATACGATTAAATGTAAACAAAAATATTTTTAATTGCGGATCCGAAATAAATATTTATTAGTTGCATTTAGTTACGCAAAAATAGTGCTGAAAATCAATCAATTGTGCTGAAGGTGCCGGCTGCTTCCGAAAGGGCCGAAAATGTCACAATGCACACTCATTTTCCATCACTGTCACACATACAATCTCACTAAGGGTATTCATCAAACCGTATAAATGCCTTATAAACCGTATAAACTTATAATTGTGTAAACCTTATAAAATAACTGTCAAAATTTGTATGGAAACTCGTTTACACATTTCTGATAAATTTATCCAGCGATTTCACCGAATAAACTTAATAAACTGGAGCCAATGCAACTCTGTCGCATTGACAGCTGATTTCTAAAGAAGAAGGTGAACAAAAAGCAAAAACGCGCCAGCAAGCGATATTTTTACTAGTTTTTTAACAAAATAAACTCAAAGTCCTTCGATTTATTAAATTTGTGTATGTATGATCATTTGGAGCTATGCGATAGGTAATCTGGCATTATAAAGAATCCTTGAAAGTTTGTTTTATCGTACCAATAGCCCAGTATTGGTGTGGTCCACTTGACAGCAAAAAAATGGATGAGGTAGGTGATTTAGTTTAAATACAGATTTGTTCCAGCTTTATTTTAAATAAAAATGTTTTAGAATAATAAGCCTAAATGCAAGAGGAAGAGGACAAACCCATCTCATCGTTGGACAGAGGGAGAAACAATCGATTTGATACAAACTATTGCCGACGCCGTAAAGGAACGGCCGGAGTCGTTTGAAGTCTGTGATAGAATAGTAAAATATACAAAATATTCTATATTTTTGTTTTGTAGAAACCGACCGCTGAACGTTTTTATAACAAAATTAAGTTATCTGTACCCAGCCTCGAAAAAGTAGAATGGATGTCCTTAAAATGTAAGATGAGATACCTGAAATCATCATACGTATCTGCTGTAAGCTGGCGGAATAGGACGGGATCTGGTATTTTGGCTACTAGCGACGAAAGAAGTGTTAAGGAGTATATTAATACCTTATGTCCACACTTTGATTTACTAACTGATATCTTTGGGCAACGAAAAAATGTTACCACACCATTCATTTACGAAAGTGAGGATGATGTTGAATATTTAGTTGAACATCTCGATCCAAATTTAGATGAGCAATTTGTGGAAGTGGAGCCGGACTACGTCCTTGTGACTCCAAACACAACTCCAACCTATACTCCAGAAATTTCGACGCCACTAAGTAGCTTAAATTCCACGCAACCGAAAAGTAAGAGAAGGAAACGCAATTCAAATCCAATGGAAAACTTAATAGTTATTCAAGAAAAGAAATTAGAAGTGGAACTTCAAAAGCTTGAACTTGAAAAAGAAAAAGAAAAAAATCAAGTCGAACCAAAAAAAACTTGAAATTGAAAACCAATTTGAGCTAAGAAAGCTAGAGCTCGAAATGCAAAGAGAAGAAAGATTGCAAATTGAAAGGCTAAGGTTAGAAAGTGAAGAAAAAATAAAAAAATACGAACTAGAATGCGCAAAAAATTTACGCTAAGGTGCTTTTTCACATATTTTTTTTAGTTCTGAAGTGTTTTTAAACTAAAATCAGTTTTTGAAGTATAGTTCACTTATATGCAAACATTTTTATTTTCAGTTTTTTAACAATTTTGAATGTTATCTACTAAATAATTTTATTGGCTATGGAATGAATCTATTTCCCTACGCGTAGGGCTTGTACATACAGTGGTGGAAAAAAATAGGGACACGACATTTAAACAAATTTTTCAAAATAATTCTAAAAAATCTGATTAAAAAGTTGAAAATTTGGATGCAATTTTGCACAATTTTTATAATTTTTTCACAAAGTTTAAAATATGAGTTTACATGGTTTTTGTTAGATAATGAGCTATACTTTTTTAAAAAAATAATAAATATTAAATAAACATAAAAAATAGGAAAAATTTTTTTAAATATCGTGTCCCTACTTATTTTTCCACCACTGTATGTATATATACACGTACAGTGACTGAAACAAACGGTGATTTAATTTTTTTATAGAATTTTAAATTCTGATTTGCATGGTTTTCGTTTTTATAAAAAACTAACAAAATATTTTATCTTGAAAAACGTTGTAAATATTAAAAACTCACTGGCCTGAATTTATATACAGACTTTAAAATATTTACATGGCAAAATGAATTTTAATGCAATGAGTTTTTAAACACTTCCTTTGTTGTTTAAACGTTTATTACATAAGTATATATGTATGCATATTTCAATAAAAATTGCTTAGTTTTATTGTAATAAATTTGATAGCAGCCTTCAGTACCAATGTTTAACTTCTTTATACAAGTGCTATTGAATCTCAGAAAGCGAAGAAAAGAAGACGCGAAGCAAAATTTGTTCGAAATATTGTCTTAAGAATGAGCTTGTAATATTATTGACAGCAGCGCACGTCGTTTGGCTTCACCGTCATGAGAACTGACATGATTTTCCGGTTCGTCTTCATTGTTGACATATCCGTCTTCACTGTCGACATATTCATTTTCTTCTGCTACTTCAAAACTCTCGTCTCTTTGAACTATTAAAATATTGTGTAGAACTGCGCAAACCAGTATCCATCGACAAGCCATTTTAACTGAAGAATCATTTTTAATATGCAACTTTAACTCTTTCAAACTATTAAAGCGTTCTTTTAATAAACCGAAGCAATGCTCAATTCTTATACGATACTTGCTAAACGTTTTGTTGAACGAATTTCGCTGCTGTACATTGGCGTCCGTTGAATTACTTCGGAAGGGAGTTATAAGAGTGCTGCTTAATTTATAAGCACTATCACCCGCTAACCATTCTGCCCCTGTGAGCATTTGTGTTGTTCTGGTAGTCAAGCTACAATTGTTGTAAGTTCTGGCGTCGTGTACACTGCCTGGATATCCCAGAACCAAATGTCGTATACGTAGCCTATAGTCGCAGATTGCTTGAGCTTTTAACGAGTACATATGTTTTCGCGAGAAATAAGATTCTGGATCTTCAGACGGTTTTTCGGCTAATTTAACTTCAGTGCCATCAACATAACCAACACAATGTGGTAGCTCTTCAAAGGTTTCTGCGGCTAAGATCTTACGTTCGGCAGCGTCCGGCCAGTACAAAAATTTGGTTTTTAATTTCAGAATCGCGTGGAATACTCTATTAGTCATATTCTACATAATGGAAATATGAATTTAGAACAAGAAATTCTAAATTGTGTTTTACTCGCCTGTATTACTCCGCCGTCACTTACACCAAACAGCCTTGCAATTTTGCTTATTGATGCTCCTTCTCCACTTGAACCCAATCGATACAAAACAATTATGAGTTGTGCTTCTACAGAAAATTGCTTGCAAGAACGTGGACCATTGAAAATTTCATCGTTTTTTATTAATTCTAATATCGCGTCAAATGAGGGCTTGCTCACTCGAGCAATTTGTCGAAATCTATCATCGTCGAGGTTTGACAAAATATTTTGGGTGAAGTGCACGGACTTGGGAACCGAATGGTGAATAAATGGACACCCATACCGAACTTGTCCCAAAACGCACATTGATAACGTGAAGTCTTCCCAAATTTCGTCTTCCCTTTTTAGTTTATTTTCTGCAAATGATTAATCTGAGAACAAAGGGATTTTTTATTTTTTAAATATCAAAGCAAAAAATCAAACATTACTTACCATCAATTTCATCGCAAATTTCCAACGTTAACAAATCATACACGAAGATCTCCTGGTAAAGTTTTTTAAGCTTACGTTTTACGCTTATTTTCGGCATATCTTTTTCTTTATATGAATCAAAATAGCAAACTATATAGATAGCAAAATATATGAATCAAAATAGCGGTGGACGATATACATACATCGATGTTTTATAAATACTCGATGTATTGTGTCTGTGCATTGATGTATTTTGAAGGCTTCGAAATTTTCGAAGCATCGATGTTTTTAAGCTACCCTGACGTTAGTTGCAGCTTTTTCACAGATATCCCATTGAAAATTATGCCAAAAAGCTACCATTGTATTAAAAAAAACATTACATGCCTTAAAAAACATGGATTTATATACTAAAATATCGATTGAACATCGATGTCTCCATATGATGCATTTTATCGAAACAACATCGATGTCTTGATGCCCATCCCAAAACAGCTGACTTATAAAGTGTAAACGTAAAGAGAGTATGGGGCGTTCATGTAACGCAGTGCTTAAACTTATAAGATTATCTGATTGATAAACTTATCGGTTTAGATGAATACCACTACTATTTTGTTGACTTCGTTTTCCCCTTCCGATAACTTTTTGCTTCCGCGCTTGCCCAGCACCGCTGTGCAAAGCTTTGCACGCCCAGTCGCCCGCGACAAATATGTGCTCATTTGGGCATCCCTAAAATAGGAGATAATTTTAAGAATAATTTTTTATGTACTGGGCGATTCCACCATCTCGGCTTGGACAATTGTACAGAAAACAATTTCGTTCTTGTTTAAATTTAAGTATAAAGTACTCAAAAATTCTACATTTTGATAAGGCTACACCTAATTGACTATTATATGAGTTATTACAAAATACCAAAAAAACTCCAACTAACTTTTATATGGAAAAAATTTTATTTATTTCTTCTGTCACGGGTGGGATGAAAAAAAGAATCTGCTTTTTGGAGCAGATATATTTTACGGAAACTCTGCGAATTTATTTCACTTTTCTGTGTGAACTTGATGTTTTATTATAAAACAAAGAACCAGGAACACAAACAAAGCAAAAACTACAAAAAAAGTACGGCTTTATTATACAAAAAATCCGAAATTCTTCTGTCACGGGTGGGACAACGTTTGTCACGGGTAGGACACGTACGAATTTTTATATGAAATGGAGCTTGTAGTGTGGTCCATATATAAAGATTAGTTATTAAAATATATAAGAAGCCAAGTAGGGGTTAAATGCACTCACGATTTGTCTTAGTATGGTGCCTTTTATATAAAAGAAAATTCTTAGCACGGTCAGCCAAAAAAATTATTTAAAATGAACGCGATTTCCTAGCGTCTTGATATTTTCACTTTTACCTACTTAAATTTAATGGACTACAAAACTGCATACCTAAAAATTCTGAACAAAAAGTTTAAAATTTTTGGGTGTAATTGTTAAAGTTTGTTGAATTTTTATAATTGTTGTAAGAAGTTTAAAATGTGGATTTATGTGGTTCTGGTTGGGTAATGTGCTAGACTTTTATAAAAAAACTATAAACATTAGATTAACAAAATAAAAAATCATAATTGGCCAAAATGTAACTTAACCTAATCAGCTGACCACAAAGGTATATAGATAATGGACGAGTCCGCGCATCCCCCCTCCCCTGCGTCTACCTCAACAAACAAATAAAGCTTATCAGCCCTATAAACCTACATCTGACAACTGTCGCACACAGCTGTGACGGGTGGGACATGCTTCTCTGTTGAATTATTCTTATCTAACTACGTGGAAACGACAATGCAATTGTGGTAAATATTTGCATTGAATTTCTAAAATTATGTAACAAACACACAAATACAACCTCAACTTCTGTAATTAAATATAACAACTTTTAGCTTTTTTTTGTCACGGGTGGGACAATACCAATTCTGCTTAATAATAACTCAAATATAGATAAAGCAGTCACACAATTTAATAGATGATACAATTTTATTAAAAGCAGATGAGTTCTACTATATATTTGTCTTACCAAACACTTGAATTATGAATAGCAATTTATTTGACAGTGGATTCAACACAACCTACTTTAAACTCAATCAAAAAATTTACTTAAAACTTGATTTCAAAACGTAAAAGAAGGTAATAAAAATGCATTTAAAGCTGTAATTTGTTATTTTTTGGTTGGTTTACAATTTTTACAAATGTCTTATCCACAGGTTTGTTAGTTTTATAAAGAAAATAATTTTTGCACTTAGGTACACTTTTCCATGGAACCTCCCTACTAAAATAAAATAAAAAAAGGTTAAATTAAAAAAAAAAAAATTGGCGATCGCTCCAACTGAGGATTGAACATGGCACCTACAGACTTGTAGCACGGCTACCGCGGACGCGAAACTCGCTTGCTTTGTTTGCATACTTGTACAAAAGACAACAGCTGGCCGTTTCTACCGGTGTTGTCATCGAAAATTCCCCTAATCCGAGTTAATTCCCAAAAATTCCGTGCATTTCTTCGGGTGCTTATGAGCATTTGAAAAAAAGGAAATGCATGAGTTAAGGCAAATAAATGCTCTTTATGTAGATAAACGAGCCCGTTTGTCACCCGTATTAATCAACCATGATGGGAGTAAAGCTGGTCTACTTCAATTTTCTTTAAAAAATATAGTTCGCCTATTGCAGTAGCTAAATCGTTTTGTCTCCCGTTTTAAAACTAACAGAGGCATACGTTAGGTTATTAAAAAATACGAATTTTTCGTATTACCTACTTGTATGTATATACATCTATGTAAATATATGTATGTAAACGAATAATGTATAAAAAATTTACGGAATTTTATTTTCTACTACGATGCTTTCAATGCACACAGTCTGACTCATTGAATTGTTTTAATGTGTTATGCCAAGCGAATTTATACAAGGTGGTAGCAAGAATACAACAAACAACAACCACGTGTATTTTGTATCAGGGTCAAAATGTCAAATCTCAACTCGCCTCAAGGTCTATCACGCCGATTCTGAACAGAAACTCCCCGGCAGTTTTCTCTCTTTTCCCTTTCCTCCTATCATGAATAAAAATTCCTTGAAGATTTTTTATATTAAATGGCGGAGTTGAGCTCTCAAAACAGTCAAACAGCTTTTTCGAAGTTCGAATTTCCTCCTCCCAAGTTTTCGGGGAAAATGCTACTCCTGGGAGTTAATTATTGGGGGATTTCTTTCTCGGGAGAAACAAATTCCCGGAGAACAACCTCCCCGGGAGTATTAAGAATTGGCCTCTATATGCATTTTGTTTTTGCTAATCATGGGCATGCTGTCAAACCAGTAAAAGCAAAAACAAAATACATGTAAGGCGAAGGAAAGAAGAAGAAATCAGCAGATTGGACAACACCACCTTGTATAAATTCGCCTTGTGTTATGCCCTGTATGCAGCTCTCAAGAAAACTGTCAAGAAAAAATTGCCATTATTTTGTGTGTGTGTCCAAGGAATTTTGACATATTATACTTCACATCCTGTTGCCTCACTCTTTCCTCAAGAAATAATGGAACGGGCAAACCTGGGTTGCCTTGTACTCTTTTTTCACAAAAAATATTAGAAAACAGTAGTAGAAAGCGTAGCAAATTCCTTAAGAACTGCGTACTGCCTTAACGTTTTAACAATTGGGAGGTTGCAACAGTCATGCAAATTTTCATCAGCGCTGCAGTATTGCCGCTTTTATTACGTGCCTCGGACAAGCCCTTGCTGTAGAGTTATCGATAATCGAAATTTGACAGTTCGACAACCAGCTAACCATGGGTAATTGCGCAATTTTTTTGGCGCTAGCTCAATAACGCCAGCGCCACCTGTGGTGTCAGCGCACTAACCCAGCGCAATAGCGCAGTGTATTGAATTGAACACGGCGCCATCTGAGTGTCACCACAGTACCCATCGTCATACAGTGCAGTACACCATACAGTGGTGTCATGTCTATTATTTCTATAAGCGCTGAACAACGCTTGTAGCGCCAACTGAATTTAATTGCTAGGAATGTAGTAAATTCCACGATATTCTATCATTCTTGAGTAAAAGCTTTAAATTTGCGTTCTCAACACTCAAATGCAAAAACAAAGTACGTGTAAATTTTCAAAGAGTTAAGGCGAATTGTGTGTGTGCCTCTTATGTTGCTTGGTGTTAATGGCGCTGGCGCTTTCCATTTACTGGTGTTGGCACGGCAACTCCGGTTATGGTGTTAACGCTATTGCGCCGCGCAGCGCAGTGTTACCCATGCCTACAACCAGCAAGCGGCTGTAAACAAGCTGTGCGAGTAAAATTAAATTATTAAAATAAAGAGTTATAAAGAAAAGACAGCAATAAAGCTAAGTTCAGCACAATTATTTGTGCTCAATCAGGCGACATTTAAAGGATAATTCCAATCCTCTAGAGCTACCGCGTGCACTGTACGCAAAAGTTAATGCTTTCAAGGTTTTTCTTTTATTATCGTTTTTTGTTCATTTTCAAAGCATATTGAAGACTTCCAAAAGAAGTTGTAGTATAATTGGTTAATAAACAGATGAACCACTACTTTCAACTTCCATACCTCCGCTCATAAAAGCTTGCGCACCTCTTAGATTTTTCGCTGTAGGAAGTGCCACAGCAATGACTTCAATTTGGAAAACTTTGTGTGTCGGTAGTTTTAAAAGAGATTCTTCAGTTGATAAAGGAAATAATTTGCAATCACTGTTCGCTTTTGCTTCACCAAATGGGCGTACTCCACGGGAACTAAAATTTCAAGTTATTGTTTTGTTATTTTTACCATATTCTGTAAAAGCAAACTGCATTGCAAAATGTTAATATCGTTCAAATTATTAAAAAATAAAATATATGACACACTTTTCAAATTTTCGCTCTTAACTACGTTCCAAAAACATTCCCAGCAACCACAAAAACGTAGTCGCTTATATAAGATAGGATATTTGTTGCTTTGTTAAATAAAATAAATCCGTTTACATTTTAATAGTTTATTATGACCGACCCAGGTCTGCGCCAGTGAGTACCAAAGACAATACTAACTACTCAATACAAAAAGTTATTATTACTAAGCTACCCTCAAGCTATCAAAACGCTGTCGCTGCCGACGCAGCCGTTGAA